TAAATTTGTTAGTCTCTAAGGTGCCACAAGTCCTCCTGTTCTTCTTTTTGCGGATACAGACTAACACGGCTGCTACTCTGAAACCTTTTTAAAATATGTAACCCCAATTGTGCCCCCCAAGTTAAAGTGAAATAAGATTATGACATCATTTTGTACAGTTTTACCTAAAAAAGGATTGAGTAATTACTTGCAGCATAGATATTACAGTAAGATCATAATAAATGTATTGATGATTTTAGAAGATGCTTTAGAGACATCAGCTCAGGGAAATTTCTCTTGTCATTTTACACAGATGTTGTGAACCTCTAGTGGAAAGTGAAGGTGTCGTTCCCAAAAGAGGGTTTCATGTGCATGTTCCACAATTTGCACTTTTCAGCTTAGCCAAATCTGTTTGTTTTATTCTCATCTTAACCTGGCACCCTTTAGTTGAATGACTACCTACCCCCCTGCACCACTAACCCATGCCCACCCCGATCAAATATCCCGACAGTTGGATAGTCCATCTGCTCACTGGAAGGATCTTTTTTTTTTCTTTCTGCCCCTCCCTTTGTGCTGCCCTTTGGCCCCCGGCTGCTTTTAATGCAAGTGCTGAGTGCCCCAACATCTATCAGTGGCCTACAGTCAGCCCTCCTGTGCTGAGTGGGGATGAGTGCCAGGGTAGCACTATCAGATGAGGTCCCACAGGCAAGGTAGGTTCTGCTGCACCTATCCTCCCCTGCTTTGTGCATTGCAACAGGTCGGGGCAGGAGACAGCCACCCAGAAGCCCGGTGTGGGGCTGCAGTGCCTGCCTGGAGGCAGAATCATAGGCACCTATGGAACTTTTAGGGTGGAAAGTTGGGCTCTGAGCAAGTATATGCACCTACAGGGTTCAGAGGCAGCCGAGTGGGAGTTTGTGTATCCCAGTGGGATCTGATTCTTGGGCTTAGGCACTTAAAGTGATAGGTGTCAGTCTCTTTGCGACTCTACTAACTCTTACCAACAACATTTCTCCTCCCATTTGTTTTTTTTTAAAATACCCTAGGAAATACGTTAACAAAAACCACTTCATTACCACAGAGATCTGGTTGCCTGGCAATATCGCATGTCCTTCCAGAACACCAAGTTCAGCAAATTCAAACTTCTGAACACCTGAAAATACACAGTTCTGGTACATTCACTGTGATGTTGCAC